TTACTAGTGTCCTGCCACCATAATGTGCTGTGCTACCAAGCTGAATACAATAGGACTAACCTTTGATCAAAGCCTTTCAGACTATAAAGAAAGCAAACAGTTCATTCATATATGTTATTACGCTCACATACAATGAAAAAACATACAAATTCAATGGGATGTTTCAATGCTTGCTCATTGATTAACAAATTAGCTTATCTGTTGCCTTATTTACCACAAAGTATTCATGAAGAAAACAAGCAAATCCTATTCCTCTAGCTTCTAGGAAAAAATACCAGTTTTATTAAGGTGAATCGCATAACTTACACATCGCGTGACTTGAAAGAAAGAAAAGTCATTTCACCAGGAAGACAATGGAGAAACACTTCTCAAGAATTAAGTGAACATGGAAGCAAGTCCTCACTCTAGACAAATGGCATTCATACCATAGGTGAGTCTGGAGAACTATTTGCCTAGTGACAAGTGCAACATGATAGAACTTATATGACACACTGGCACATCCAGAATAGGGCACTCAGGTAGGCTGGCAAGGCTCTAAATCAGCCAATGTCTCCAGTCAGAAGAAAGAACCTATAATGTAATCTGCTAAATGGTCCACAGATACTTAACTATTACTTCAAGGTATCACTCACTACTCTGAAAACAAGGAACTTAAAAAATGCATGGCACACAAACAGCAAGGAAAAGGTTTACAATTTTATGCTTGTAGGAATTGTCAAAATAAGTCATAGAATATAAATTAAATAAATGAAACATAAGTAGACTTGCACATCTGTAGTCTGTATTATACTCCCTCTGATTAAATCAATTACAGATCTCACCTATAAGGAAAAAAATACAGTCAAAAGTATGTATCAGATAGATATATTAATGCTTTCTTTTTATTCATTCTTAAATATTATATTTAACTATAATTTATATAGAATTTATATAAAATTAAGCTTCATATGTAATCTATATGTGATTTAAATTATGTAGGAGAATGTGTGATGTTGATAGTAAATGGTATGGCATGTATAGAAAGAATTGAGATGTTCTTCAATTTATTTTTCAAGAGGTCAATAAAGGAGCCACTCACAAATACAAAGGAATAGGTAGAGTTAAATAGTTACAAATGATATGAAAGAAATATACAAATAAAATACAATCCTGAAAATTTATCATATATCTGAAAACAAATTAGTGAGTTCCAGGTAGGAAATGTGCCTTGCGGGTCTCTTATTCTGATTGTGATGTCTACTCTTATACCAGTGATAGTAAAAGTGACTACAAGATTTTTGGTTAAATAATTAGTTAGGTTTATGGATTTCATATGTTTTGTTGTTGTCGTTTGTTTGCTTTTCAAATGTACACAACTAAAAATGACATCATATGGAAATGGCTAAGGTTCATATGAAGCAAAACACAGAATAGTTGTTCCAGGACTGTTTTGTTTTTCCTTGGAGGAAAGGTCTGTTCACAGAGGCCAGGAAATGAGGCCTCCCAGAACTCTGCCAGAGGCCTCTCAGCTGGCTTCTGACCTGGGTGACTCAAGGGCCCTGCAGACCCTGATAAGAAGTCAGGACCTAAGATTCAGATCCCCAGGAAAGCCAAAAAATGTAAGGCTGTTTGTGGACTCTATGCAATTCTTATTTCTAAGTTACATAAATAAAGGAAAGAATCAACACAGAAGATGACTAAAAAGATGCTAAATTTAGCTTTAGCAATATTTGTAAGGCACAGTTCAGTCTTAGAAGCAGACAAAGGCAGTTCTAGAGAGAATTCTGTCCTGCTAAAAAGAGAGGTCAGCTGTAATTATATAATATAAAATTGGAGTACACCACTCACATATAATAAAAAATTCTCTCAAACTACCTGATTCTTATTTGGAAGGTGATATTCTATTTAACCATCTACCAAATTGAAAATGAATTCTAGATGCAGGAACTTCATATTATCTAAAGCCTCAGTGCATTTTCTTATACAATATTCATCATTCTTTCAAATTTTGCCAAGCTTGTTATAAAACCACTACATCGTAACAGCAAACCTCTAAGGCATTAAAAACTGTTCCTTTTAAAATAAGGAAAATGGCAGGACTGTCTTATATGCTGTTTTTGTTTATCTTTATATTATATGGTATAGCCAGTGAATCAAAATACAAAATTATTAGAAAGAATATACATATGTATATTCCCCCTTTTCTAATATATGTATATATACGTATATTATCATATGCACTTGACTCAGTGCATTAAATGTTCAAAACAGTGTGGACAAGGTGGTGTTCTCCTTTAATACCAGCCTTCAGGAGGCAGAGGGATGTGGATCTCTGTGATTTTGAGTCCAGTCTGGTCTAACAGTGAGACTCTGTCTTGAAAGTAAAACAAAATGAAATAATATATACTTGCATCCTTGAAAATGAATTCATAAAAATAAGGTGTCTTGGGGACTGGAGATGTATCTCAGTGGTTAAGAATACTTGTTGCTTCTTCATAGGCCTCAGGGTTCAATTCCCAGATACCACAGGGCAGCTTACAACTATGAGTCACTCCAGTTCTAGGAAATCCAATGCCATCTTAAAACTACCCCAGGCAGTGTAAGTACACAGACACATTAAGGAAAACACAAACATAAAATCTAAATAAATAAACAAATACATAAAAAGCATTGAAAAATCCATGTGGGGCAGTGGTGATAAGAATCTTTAAACATTTTGTCAAACAACTGTCCATCTAATATATTGTTGATTTAATCATGTATATGATGTGACACTTCCATATTTTACACACACACCCACACACACACACATTCCTTGTATTGAAAAGTGTTTTCTTTTTCACATAATATATTCCAATTTCAGTTTTTCCATGCTCTACTCTCCCACACATCCTTTTCCATCCAGATCCACTGTGTCAGCCCTAGGAATGGTACCAACAGAATCTGTGAGTTCATAAGAGGCCTTGTTTTCAAAGTAGCCCCACCCTCTCTGGCTCGTATACTCTTTCTGTCTCCTCTGATGATGGTTGAGCAAGGCACTGATCTATGAGTGTAGTAGGATGTAATGACATTTGTTGGGTAATATTTGTGGTTACATTTTGATATTTAGTTTATAGAACAGTAAGTGTTGGTGTTACTCTATGTCCCTGGATGATCTGGTATCAGATATTTGATCACCCAAGCAATGTCAGATATGTGTTAAATCTCTTACAGTGAGCCATAAATCAAATCAGCTATTGCTTGGTTGGTCCCACACCTTCATGCCCCCATTGCTCTAGTATATCATACAGACAAAACACCATTGTTAGTTAGAGGGTTCTTACTGACTTGCTGTTTGTTTCTCTTTGAGGAGTATGCAGAGTACCTGTGCCAAAGATGCACCATGATCAAATAAGTGTAATGTATGAATGGTTGCTATATAAGTATATAAGAAAATTAAGATCTGCAGCAAAGCTTAATATCTAATGGTTTTCCTCAGTTTAGAAGGAGTAATTTCCAGATAGAAAACTTTATAATCTTACAAACAATCTAAGACGCCATACTCTCATATAGTTTATGCTCTAGCAATTATATTAAGACAATATCCACCAACTACAATGCTAATGGCTTTAAAGAAATCAGAAAATCTGTGGTTATGAGCCTAGCTTTTAAAGGCTGAGCTAGTCAATCAGTATTTATCCCTCCTATATGAGTGGACTTTAGGAGCCCATCCCACATAGAAGGATACTCTTTCAGCCTAGACACATAAGGGAGGGCCTAGGTCCTGCCCCAAATGATATGACAGACTTTAAAGACTCCTCATGGAAGGCCTTACCCTCCCTGTGGAGCATAAAGGGAATGGGATGGTGGTTGGAAGGGGGAACGCGGAGGAGGGGAAGGTGGGTGAAATGAGACTGATATATAAACAAGCTTGTTTCAAATTTAAATAAAAAGTATTATAAAAAAAGAAATCAGGAAATTCAAATAGGTATAGAGAAGTATAACTTGTATACAAAGTTAAATTTTGTTTGAATTTTAGTGTTAGATTGGTGTTAGACTGGAGATAATAAAAATTCCATAGAGAATATTGAGATGTATTTCAGTATTCTGCAGAAATCAAATAACATCACATATTAAACAGGTAAAAGTTTAAATTAGCACCCATTTGTCTTCTTTTTAATATCATGATGTTTTGGTAATGTTGATTTATTATTTAATGTTTACAAAATTTGTTTTAGAATAAGTACCAATCTTTAAAGATGCATCCTATCATGCAAATGACATCCATTGAGCTGAGTATACATGATGCCTTGAAACTGGCTTTAGCTCTCTCTCACATGCATGTGTGTGTGTGTGTGTGTGTGTGTGTGTGTGTGCAAATGTTTGTGTGTATGTGGGTGTCAAAGTTCATGTATGCTTGTCAAAGCATGACTGGTCACAATGTGTGTGCATGTGTGTGTTTCCATATGTGTTTTGTGTGTAAACTAAAGTACTAAAGAGAACAAATAGTCGTATTTATCACATTTTTACCAAAACTATATAACAAATTCCTCACATGCACCTATTACTTTCGGAAACCCAAGAACTTTAGAGACACATAATCAAATTCAGAATTTATGAGTCCCAATGTCAATGAACTAATTAGTTCTTATGTATCATTTTTCTGTCTTCAGTGTGAGACTCAGCTCCACAAGGCCAGAGCAGTTTCATAATTCTACTCCCCCAAGACCTATCCTGTCACACTGCATTTCTTTGTTATAAAATTCAAGTTCCCTTTCAGTATGTTCAACACTTAATTTCTGGTTCCAAGCAGATGTCTTAAATCCTGTTTTCATTTCATATATGATAACACAAAATTAATATAACAAGTAAAGACATATAAGCAGCAACTATAGACTACAGAGATGAGTTTAATATTTCTCTAATTTTTAATTACATTATTTTTAAAAAGCTGTATGTCCATATATATACGAATTGCATTATTCAAACTGAGTCATTGTGCAACTAATGGTATAGGTTCAATCAAATCTAGCATCACATACCTTTGTTATTGTCCATTCCTCCCACTGCATATAGGGTTCCAACTGTAGATTTTCTGGGCTTAGTTCTTGGGCTTTGCATTAAAGTTCTTCTTTCAGGCAATAGATGGTATTTCATTGCTTCTAGAATCAGTTTTTGGCATTCTAAATCATTCTTGAATAATGCATGATTTTCAAGGTCAGCAAGTATCTGTGAATAATACATAGTCAATGTTAAAGTTATGGTGAATGTATGTAGTATGAATTGACTTTAGAAGCTTAATTCCTTTACCAATAGTATTACCTTTGGAAAACAGGGTAACAATGTCTTACCAGCTGTTAAAACTATAAATAAACAAATATATTTGCAGCCTTTCCTATTTTTCCTTGGAAATCCAGACACTGGAGCTAAAATATTTAAATGTTGTTTTGCCCTATGTTAATAAATTGTCTCATTGTGTAACTTTAACAATCTTCCAATTTTGATATATGTAAAAAAGGTCATTTAAACTAAAATGATTGACTCTAATTTTACTGATATAAGTTACTTTTAAATAATTTATTTTAGTTTAAAATAATTATATGTTCACATTTTTAAAACATACAATGGTAATCTTAAAATATTTTAATAGCTATGAGCTCAATTTCTTGAGTTTTAAGCTTTAAAACTGTATATTAGTGACATTGGTACTTTACTGAGTGAAATTAACATAAAATAGCTTGGTATAATCAAAATATTTTAAATTAATTTCAATAAATGATACTATCTTCTGTCAGTTTCTTAGATTTTTCTATTGTTGAGTATATAAAATGGTCTTTAGTTTGCATGAATATAATTTCCTACTCTAGATGAAAAAAAGGTTAGTTAACCGTAATTCATTAGTAACTTCAATTTTAGTTTTTAAAATATTATGTATTATATAGATGAGCTTCTAATTTCCTTTCTTAATAAAATGCATTAAAGCAGTGTATATGTATATAACTTAAATATTAGCTGATTATCACAGATTGTTAAAAATAAGTATATTTTAATTTATTAATTGTATACAATTTTTGATCATATATTTGATTATATGTTTCAACACTGTTGACAACACTAATAATGACCATTTTTACCACTTCAAATATGCAGATATTTAGAATATTAAACCATTTTATATATGGTAATGATTGAACAAGTATAAACACGCAGATTCATGTGTCTGATAATATCACAGTTTTATTAAGGTGTATGTGTCTAATATAAAAAATAAAAAAACCTTTATAACAGAAGCCTTTGTATTACATAGAATTACAGAGTCTTCTTAAAATATAAATTGGCTTCAGTATGGGAATTCAAGTTTTCTTAACACACTCCTAGACATGTGAAAATATTTGTTTCCAAACTATTACCTAAAGTGGATAAATATTAGAATTATATATGTCCACAATAACCCTAGATTCTCTAAGATTTTTAACTTGAATCAATATATTTTGTGAATGTTTTCTTTTGGATCTAATGAGTTCATCATACTATTTATGTCTTAAAGTCTGTTTTTTTATTATATTTGTTTATTTACCTTTGTTAAACCATTCCTGCCTATGAGCAATAAAACAGACTTGAACTTGGTGAAGATATTCTTCATATGGTCTTTAATTAGGATTGGAAACATTTTACTGAGAATATTTTAGTCCACATTTTATCACAGAAATTACCCTGCAATTTTCTTTTTTCTCATGAGTCTTTTTCTGATTTTAGTATAGGAATAATACTGGCTTAAAATAGAAATATTTATTTATTTTCCCTTTTACTGAACAACTTAAGAAAAATTGTTAATTTCTCTTTGAAGACCTGGTATAATTCTGTGCTTCACTCACCTGTCTTTGGGCACATTTTTATTTTGGGAGATATTTTAATTAAAGCTCCCATCTTACTGGATGTTATGGATTTATTTAAATTATATAAGACATAGCAGTCATTTTGAGTGAGGTTACCCAGATCTAGAAGGAAAAACCTCATGTCCTATCTGATTTATGAACATTTTATTTCCACAGATAAATGCATCTCTCAACACTCATCTGGAAACTTCTATTTGCAGTGGATGATGATTAAACCAGAGACAGGTAATCCATCCAGGAGCAGAGAAAAAGAGAATAAGATTTCCTAAGTTGAACATCTCCATCACACCCTGTCTTCCAGGGCTGAAGGATAATTGACTGACAATACCGTGGAAAGAGACCCAGACAGTGGAAAGTTACAAGGAAATAGTGTCTTCTGGATGCAGCAAGGCAACTGTACTTATGACCTCATGGTGGTTACAATCGCACACACAGCCCCATGTAAGCTCAGGCCACATCAGGTCCATTATGAAGAGGAGATGTAGGCATGAAATCTGATCCCTAGCTGAAGCCATATTGACAACTGATAGCTGCTTGAGAAAAAATTCCATTTTTCTCTAACAATGTAGAGGAACCCTCTGATGGAAGCATTTATAAATATCTAGGAAGGTATGACCAATTTAATTTGGACTACATGTGTGGCAAGAGTAAAAGAATGAGTGAGAGAAGAAGAGAACACAGTTCTGGTAAGAAAGGAAATAGAGGTAGATTTGGGAGCAGTGGAGAAGAGGACAAAATTATTAAAATTCATTACATAAAACTCTTAAGAAGCCACTAATTTGTAAAATGTTCAGTAAATATGAGCAGTTATTAAAAGGCAATTTTAAAGGGCAGAGAGGTAGTAGAATTTCCACAAAATATATTAATTACATCTATTTTTTTTCATGAGTTCACAGCAATTCATAGGAATCTAGAGAATTTTAATGAGAAAACACTTAAAGAATAATCCAAACTGAGTATATATCAAAGATGCTGTAGCACTGTGTCATTGGGTAATTATATTGATAAAACTGTGTCACATTTGACAACAAAATGACAAAATTTCTTTTTATTTAAGACCTTGCTTCTCAATAGAAATTATAGGCCAAAATGTCTTGGAGAGATGAGCTACAGAATGTGAGACTATGGATGCCAGCCCAAATAATAAAACCAGCCAAACTCTCAATTACCATAGATAGATAAGATATTCTATGCTAAAATTATATTGAAGCATATCATTCTACAAATCCAGTTTTACTGAAGCTACAACCTGTAGGCACAGTGAAGTTATGTATAGATGAAGGGACTTTAGAGACACATTAATATTCTACGGATGTGGGAATAGAATAGATTTTATGGGTGGCATGAGGGCGAGGTGGGGTTGGAAAACAAGGATCATGGGGAGAGTGGGCAGGAGGTAGAATTGAGATTAGTAATGTAGGGAAAGTCAATTGTGTTGAGAAGCATTTGAGGGTACTAGGAAAGTGTAGTGCAGCAGAAGCTTCATATGTATCAAGGTGGTTCTAAAGATCTGCTCCAAAATTGGGGAAGACAGTATCTTAACCTCTGCCATTGCTTGCCACCAAAGGAAACTTCCAGTACTGAAATTGGGTTACATCTAATAGAGTTGTTGGACAAAGGTGTCCCTTGGCAAGTCCTAAACAACCCTGGATGTTGCCGAGAAATAGGCTGATCTCCAGAAACTGAGAGCAAAAAAATAAAATTTTGACTTTCTAGAGTGAAAAAGGAAACACACACACAAAAATAAAACCTTATGTTTAATTCTGCTATTTGTTCTCTCCATAAAAATTTCCACTTCTGGAATTAGAATAAATAAAAGTAAAATTTATTTATCTCAATGCAGCGTTCATTTGACAAGTGGACTTCATACAGAATTTTCTCTTAAAAAATAAAAATAAATATGTGATAAAATGTTACCATATCCCATAAATTGCAGTGAAGGATTTCTGTTTCAGTATATTAGAATAGGTATCATGCAAAGAAAGTCTTTGTAAACATATATATTTTGCAGTTTCCCAGACATTCCATAGGAAAATTGTGGTATCAACTGATTTAAATATATCTTGAACCTGTTATTTTAAGATGATGGATACAGGATTGAGTGTTCACAGAACAGTAATATCTCATTGCCATAGCTGTCTTTTTGTATAAGAGCATTAAACTATTCCTCATGTCTACATAGCCTTTCTTTATACCTCCACCTGTCAGCCCTCTCTGTGCTCCCAGACACATGCGAGAAGAGAAAAAGAGACAGAAATACTGAAAGCTTGCAGTATCCCTTCCTTTACCTGTGCTACCTCTACATCTGCCATTGTTCAACTGTCAGCTGGGCTGGCACAGCCTAGACTCCTATAGGAAATACTAGTTCCCATGGATAGACTATCAATTTACAGCCTGCTTGACACTCAACACCCCTGAGCAAGTAGATTCTCACATTATATTCTGGTTCTATTAGCCTCCATTGGAGACTTTCTAATGAGCCAATCAGTATTATGTTAAGTGACTTGGGGATCTTCTTTGTATGGCTAATGAAATTGATAAAAGCAAAAGAGGCTTCCAAATCTCTGCTTTCAAACTGACTTGGACTGATCATGTCAGAGACATCTGAAAGAGTCTACCTGTAGCATTTCAAGAAAAGAGAGACATGTACAAAAACAAAATAGGCTCATTAATTTATTTCAAATACAGAAATCTTGATTGTCTTTAAATAAGTAATTTAAAAACTTGTAATTCCAATAAGAATAATAATGACATAATCAAAACAAGTAGAGTTCACAAAATTAACCCAAATAAAGGTTTTTCATTACTTATAAAGTGGTTGTTGTGCTTCTATAATTTATGGTTAATGGTTATTTATTGATGCTGAGTTTATTGTTTCACTGTGAGACAGCTCAGGCAGGAGTAGTAAAGCTGAAATAAATCAACCTGTGTTCTGTATGAAGTTTACTCCACATTGAACATATGTGTCCCCACAAAACTATAGAAAATTAACTCATTCATTCTGTAAATTTTATTCAGTAGATATTTGTTACAGTGCTGTCAAAGTTTCACAATATCTTCAACTTGATTTTTACATAAAAGTTTTCAAGAGTACAATCCTTCTCCCAGTAGAATGGCTTTCTTAATTTATCCATGTTTATACTACAATTGAGAAAACTTTGTTTATTGGTAGATGTCATTCAGTATCTCCAGGATACTATGAGAGTCATTGTCTAATGGTATTTTACTTCACCTATTCATCCACTTTTCCCAATATTCTAATACACGTGAATCTATGTGTACAATTTAGAATCTCTAATCTATTTCTATGACAATAAACAATGTCCTTTCTAT